AGATAAGGACTAATTATGAAATTAAAACATTTCTTAGCATTATCACTTTTAAGAATTTGAATTTTACTTTGGATTTGAGTGAGTATCATAGAATGAAATAATAGAAATATGGTGTCAGTTTCAGATATTTTTCATAAATAATATTCATATCATTCTTGTGTAATCATTTATGAATGATACAAACAATCACTCCCCATTTATATATATCACTTGTGAGGGTCCCAAAGTATTAGCGCGAAATACAAAAAAACGATGTGAAGGCTTATATTGCAATTTAGAGTATACATGTTTAATATATTTTGCAATTTAATAAGTTTCACAATAATAGATATTAGGCTTTTAATGATAAATAAATGTGGAAACATCTTTTTCATGTGCACACAATTTGAATGACTAAGATGAAAATTACTCATTATGACTTGACTTTTAATTGAAACTACATTGACAGAATTTGAACTGAATTAAAAAATACAGCTTGACGAATGACATTGTCTACCTATGAAGTTATTTTCTTTGAACAAGTACAAACCACAATACAATGCATCTCAACATTACCAATCACCTTCCCCAAATCCACCACATGGAAACCACAATAATTTGACGAAAATTTAGTTACAGAGTTTAGGTCACGGTATGTTTATAATTGAGAGTAGATTGTAATGTAATTTTGGAATATAAAGAACAAAGTAGAGTTGGAGTTCCTTGTCAATTCAATTTATCCAGTTTCTACTACTTGTGAGAATGAATCATCAACTATTTGAATTGCAGAGTGAATGTATATGAGTTATAATTTTTGAAGACATTGTGTAATATGGTCTGAGGCTCCAAAATCAACTATCCAATGTTTTAATTCATTGGTTTGGACAATAAAAGCATCTGATAAAATACCTTGGTGACCTAAGAGGCTGATAGGTTGCTCAACAGAGGATTGTGATGCTTGTCTAGAATTGAAACTATTTCTAAATATTTTTTGCAATGCATTAATTTGTTTCCTTGTGAACATGCTAAATTCTCAATTATTGTTTTATGAGATAACGTCATTTGCATGGTGCTCCCTCTCAATCATATATTCAATTAGATGGCTTCCAATCTATAGATTTATCGTGTAATTTTCAACTTTTTCCTTCACATTAGCAGGTTTCTTAGAATGGTAACATAATTATTGTCCTTTTTTGGGCTTGTTATTCTAAGAAGAATTTTGAGTATAAATTATTGGTCCTTCAACAGATGTTAAGGTGTGATTGTCTGTTATCATTAACTTATTTCTGCTCTTCTCCTTTTAAACTTTTACAAAGGCTCCCCGAATGGTAAGGATGGCTTTAATGCCCATGATCCCCTCTCTAACTTCATCTAGTTTCTTATTGAGGCCAAGGAGAAATTTGATGGTTCTTTTTTGTTCAATAATTCTCCTATACAAGGCAAAACCATTAGGGCAATTCTAGGAATGGATCTCGTACATGTCCAACCGCAACCAACATATTAGAGGGTTGAAAAATTGGATAAAACTTAATTCTTCTTGTTGTAGATCATATTGTATGGTCTCAATCTCAAATAATTGCGAACAAATTTCAGTGCTAGAGTAGGTGTTACGTGCAACCTTTCATATCTCTTTAGCTATCTTATATAGTAGAAAGTTTTTTCCAACCTCCATCATCATAAAGTTTATTAATCATGACATAATCTTTTGGTCGTCAGTTTTTTAGGCTCGGTACTTTGAATCCGTCATTTTTGGAGCCAAAATACTTCCTGTGAGATGTCCATCTTTCCATTTGTTATAGATGTATTTGAAGATGGATTGTGACCATTGAAGGAAACTATGACCGTGCATTTTATGGTTCGTGATTATGTGAGAGGAGTTATTAACTACGATATGGACTGAAGATGTATGATTGAATTTAGAGGCGACTATCGAAGAAGATTGTGAGGTCATGTTGTGTTTGACCATGATTAAATTGTGAAACCTAAATCGAGAAGACCTACTACACGAACAAAATCGAGAGTTCCCTTAGTTCGATTGCTCGAATGGATGAACAAACATGGACTGAAGGGAGGAAGATCCTTAGTTTAAGTGTTTGATTGGACAAGCGAACAAAAATTAGGTGGAGACACACAACTCTTGATTTTCACGAGTTTGGCACGGTATGACTTGTTGGAGGGCAGTTGAGGAAAGAATCATAGGGCTGATTCATTCGTTGTTTAGCGAACCGACGTGAGAAACAATCTGTGGAAGAAACAATATGTGAAAATCGATCAAAGCCTTCAAACTGTTTGCAAAAATAGATTGCAGGCGCCATTAAGGAAGTGTGATATGCTCGAACTGGTCGAGCGGAATGGACCAATGACAAAATGGACATTCTGGTCGAGCAGAATAACTGGCCAACAAAATATTATGATCTTGTGCGTAGATGAGTAGACAAGGATCTGTAGGATAGTTGCTTGCGAGAAGTTCCACAGTGTTTGAAAAGAAGAGATGAATGTGAAACTTCCGTTGTTTGTTTAAGCATGGAGGACAGATTAGAGTGGAATAGTCGATCGAAGCGACAGACTGCGTAGGATGGATCCCAGTTTGTTCAAGCAGAATAGGACAATGCAAAGCAACAACTATATAGTGAAAAACAAGATAGGTTTCTCAATGGAGGATCTTAAGGCTCATATATCATGTTGTAATCTGGAAAGAATTTTATTTCGTGCTTACTTTTTTGCATTACACATTACTAGACACATAATAATAATAATAATAATAATAATAATAATAATAATGAAAGAAAAAAAAATAGGAATTCCTCCAAACAGTGAAGAATAGTGAAGTAGGAAATATAAATAGAAGGAAATTAAATTAGTGAAACATATTTTAAGAGAAGGAAATAAATTCCTTCATAATCGAGCATGCAGATTAGCACTTTCCAGCATGTTATATGGTTGAATTTTTTGCATTTAATTCGGGCATGAAAACTTAAAGGGACATCAATTCAATTTCTCCTCTTGCATGATTATTCAACTCCTTCGAAAATGAAATATGTGATGATCATGGTAGTCGGGACAAATTATAATTAAAATGCACGAGTACAAGTGGTTACCCTTTCATTAAATAAGCCAATATATGCTTAATTTAAGAACCACTCTACTTTTCACTTAGGATACGTCCAACCAACCGCCCTTTATTTCGAAAGCAATATATGATGCAATAAAATGAGCACTATTCATCTCAGAATGGAACCATCAATAACCTAGGTTTTTGTCGTGCACTTAAAAACTCCCTTAGCTCAACCTTGTTTACGAACCATTAGTAATTTATGTAGGTTGATTCTTTAGAAGTTTACAAATAATTTTAACTCCAATGGTAGAATTTTTCAAGGAGTGGTAGATTTGATTCAGAACAGGACAGATAAATCAAGCTTTAAAAGTAAAGTCAAAATTTGGAGGATTAAGATCTTTGGGCTACGCATAAAGAAAATTATTTGGAAGAATGCTCACATAAAATTCAAATATAAAGACCGAAGGGAAGTATGATAGTCACTTCCCTTTTGTTTGCTTGGCCAACTTCAAAATTCAAATTTGTTCTAAACAAGATGTTATATGAGAAGTTACAATCAAAATGCAAAGTGCATATGATCACCCTCTTGATAAATAAGTCAATATATGCTTGATTATTGATGTAATATATTTTAAAATAAAAAGTACATGTAGCTTAAATTAAGTTATTTGTGTGATATACTTTAAAGTCATTGTTTAGAATATGCATGCAGACATATGTGCTTATTAATTTCTCTTTTTTTTTTAAAATTAAACACATTATTGGCATGCGTCATTCAAGTTTATATGTTTGATGCTATATGCTTTATTATTATGGAGTTTTGGTGTATTGTAGAAATGAACTGATGCAATTCAAAATGATCAAATCTAATTCTTCAATTATCTATTATTTCTAGAAACTAACAAGACAAGAGAATAAAAATATGAGAAATGAGATTAGTGAAAAATAATCATATCGTCAAAAAGGCCTAATAAATATTATTTTAAAAGATAGAGCTAAAAAAATAAATGAAGGTCAACCGAAGGACCTTGAGGATTTAATCTAAGATTCTTGAGTTAACTTTTATCCATTATTAATCCCTTGACTAATTTGTATCATTTTTAGCCTATTCAATTTCATATCTTATCAAGCAACTATTTTTGATATTTAATATTTTCCTAGCATCTTCATACATGCCATTGCCAGGGCTCTAGTCATTATAAGTTATTCCATGGTTCCACCCTGCCATTTAGTCCTTTAATCTTGTTATTGTCTTGGCACATTTGGTTATTTATTTATTTTTCTTGATACATTTGTTTATTACATCATTGTGATTATTAATGTATATTCTGTAATAGCACAAGTAATTTTTTTATTAACTAGATTTATGTTGTTAGTTTTCAATCTCATTAGCAAAGACTTCAGAGATGTTTGTCAAGCCTAGTTCTTATGTACTTAGGAGATCTTGTGACGTATTTTCTATTTAGCTCCATGTATTTTCTTTTTTTTAGACCCTTATATGTTATTACTCAATTGAGTCCTATTGAGTATTGTGATACATTTGTAAGGTTATTATTATATTTCCACTAGTATTTGGAGTAAGTTTGTTTTAGTTATGTAGTGATGGTGAAAACTTTTTAACTTATGTGGAAATATTTGATCTCTTTGCAACTTTCATGAGTTAGGATCCCATCAATTCTTCAATATATTTCCATAACATCAAACTTTTTTCATCACGTAACAGATTATTTTCTCAGCTGCTAGATGCTTCTAGAAAATAATCAGATTGAGGGAAGAACAATGAACGAAACTATATAATTCCATGTTTGATTGATAAAGTATTCCTGGAAAAAAATAAAAATAAAAATTAAATGAATGTTTATTAAAGGGTCATGGATGAATTCTCAATTATAGTTTGCATCATTTTTTCTCATATCACTTGAGGTAGTATTGTATCCCAATGAATGTCTTGATTGTGATTTGACAGTTACATACCACGATACACATTTAGCTGGCTGGTAAAACCAATGTGGCTGATCATTAGTAAGAATCCAACTCTTCTACCTTCAAGCTGTTCAAGTATAGTAGCTTTGTATCCCCAACTTAATCCATTTATCATGGGGCGTTTACATACATACCACCCAATTCCTATGTATTTACATATCTAACTCCTAAAATTTTAACTTCAACATTCTTACCAGCCAAAAGTTTCATTGCACATAAAAAATACCATAATTTTAACTTTAAAAAAATGAAATACACCTTTTTAAGAATGCGTATGGTGGCATGTATGTAAAAAAGTTGATGTTTAGGTGTTAGATGTGTAAATATATTGGAATTGAGTGGTATGTGTGTAAATATTCCTTTATTGTTTTGTAAAGAGTTCCTACACAGAGCTGCTGATCTGACACTGGTTCCATCAGCCGCTATACGTCATGATCTTGAAGTTGCTCATGTTACTGCAGGTAAAGCTAATGCTTTTCTTCTTTGCCACTCGACATTATCCTGATTTGACATTAATGATCTGTATGTTCTGTTCAGCAAACAGGATACGCATTTGGAAGAAGGGTGTTGACTCTGAAAGCTTCCATCCTCGACATCGAAACCATGAAATGCGAGTCAGACTGAGGTAATCTCCCATCATTCGAAGCTTCTTCTGCAATGCAGATCGCTAGCACACGGTGGTGGAACCAAAGATTGGCTGAAGGAAACTCTCACTACCTCTAAATTTTTGCCAAACTCTTTAATAATTTATAACTCACTGAATATTTTACACACTCAATAATAATTTAATGTTAGCTATATTTTTAATTTAATGAAAATATTTATAATAGTTTTAAAAATCTTTTAAGGGGATGTAAAGTTTAAGTTCTGGTTCAGCCACTGCTAGCACACAAACATATGATGAGTTTTCAGGCCCTCTTATTTTCTGTAGTGATGGTGAACCCGAAAAGCCTTTAATTATACATGTTGGGCGATTAGGAGTGGAGAAGAACTTGGATTTCCTCAAACGGTGATGATGAGTTCACTCACTACTCCTTTTGGACATGCATTTTTTTTTCAGTTTTTATTGCACTAGAAAATATTTACAGGTTTTTGCTCCCTGATTTTGCACATATGGACAGCGTGATGGACCGGCTACCGGGTGCAAGAATTGCATTTGTTGGAGATGGACCATATCGGTAAGTTCTCACAAAATATTGAATTTGTCTTGTTTTACAAACTTTGAATGAGAAAGTGCTAAAATAGCCCCCTGGCTTTTTACATGTGGACATTTTAGTCCTAGAGTCTATATACGTGCCAAATTAGTCTTAGAGTATACAAACGTGTCAAATTAGTCCTCAAATCTTTTAGATTGGGGTTAGTAGTGCTCCAGGGGGACTGTTGGATTAATTTGACACTTCTATAAACTCTGAGGTTAAAATAACCCAATTTAAACAGTTAGGAGACTTTTTCGGCACTTCACTCATTTGAATTTACATAAATATATTGAACTACTGCACAAAACAAAATTGAAACTTTTGCAGAAGTGAGCTGGAAAAAATGTTTGAAGGGATGCCTGCGGTGTTCTCAGGGACACTCCTAGGTAAAGAGCTCACTGAAGCCTATGCTAGTGGTGATGTGTTTGTGATGCCCTCCGAGTCGGAGACGCTCGGCCTCGTTGTTCTCGAGGCAATGTCTTCTGGAGTTCCTACAGTTGCTGCTCGTGCTGGTGGAATCATTGACATTATCCCTGATGAGCAAGATGGTAAAACCAGCTTGCTCTTCAACCCAGGAGATGTGGATGACTGTGTTGCCAAGATTGAGCTCTTGATTTCTAACAAAGAAGTTTGGGAGGATATGTCCAAGGCTGGTAGAGAAGAGATGGAGAAGTATGACTGGAGGGAAGCTACCAGGAATGTTCGTGACGTGCAGTACAGTGCTGCCATTTGGTTCTGGCGCAGAGGCAGGGCACAGGTTCTCAAGCCTGTTAGGTGGGTGTTTAGGAGATTACTTAACCGAAGTTTGTTTAGATGATTGTTTAAGAAAATAGGGATGTGGCAAATAGGGGATTCTTTTTTTTTTTTTTTTGAATTTTTTTTTAAATTCTGTAAGCTGATATTTTTGTCTTTAAATAATCATTATAATGCCATTTGTTTGTAGGGGCATTTACATATCTTAACACCTAAAGTTTGGTTTTTACAATAATACCTACAAAATTTTATCACATAAAAAACACGATCATTTTAACTTTTAAGAAGGAGAAAGTGTCAAAATTGAATCTTGATTTTTTACATGGAGTTATTTTAGTCTCAGAGTTTATAAAAACATCAATTTAGTCTTCAAACTCTTTTAATATGAGCTGAAATAGTTTCATTTATTGGGATTATTTCAACACCAATTCAAAGAGACCGAGGAATAATCAAACACTTTTATGAACTCCACCGACTAAAATTCATGTGAGCTGATTTTTTATACTTAAAAACACTGATTTAAAATAAAATGCAGAAGTGATTCTGACAAAAAAAAAAAAAAGTCTTGTAATTAAAAGAAAGTCAAGAACTTATTAAATTCAGATTTATTATTTGCATTCATTCTTGAATAGTTACTCTAGAAATCAAGTCTTTGTCTGAAGAAACTTTTCTTACTTTCTTGCAGTCAATTCAATATGGTCTTTTTCTTAACATCTTATATCCAAGATTTTTGTCTTTCTTAAAAGGTAATTTGTGGGAAATTTACATACATACCGCACAAATCCCTATATTTGCATATCTAATACCTAAAGTTTGATATAACACTTTGGTACCATGAACCGAAGCATGAAAATGTGATTTTAAATGTTAGTGTGATGTATGTAAATATGAAAGTTTCGAAGTTTAGATATTTAAATACATAAGAAGTATGTGGTGCCCCTTGATCATCCTTGGTCTGATTGGTTTTGAGCATTATTAAACCTCTGGAGCAGCTATGAAGGATCAAAATGCACTCCGAAGAGGAGAGTAAGAAAGCCACACTAAATATTAGGAGTGTCAAAAATTAACCCTACGCCAACTTGACCTCATCTTGACTATAAGAATTTGGATTTGATATGACATGAATAATTTTCAAGCATGTACTGATTAGAAATCTTAACACATTTAATTTTATGGGGCGGATTTAGGTCTGCCCATCAATTTAAAATTGGTCAAAATAACCCATTAACTCAAAATTGACCCACTAACTTGAAATTTACCTAAATAGCTGTTATGTCTTATGTTGAATGGGTTATGCAGTCGGGTTCAGGTTGAATTTTCTAGCCCATTTAATATTTGAGTGAATTCAGGTCAGCTCAATTTAGAGGCAGACCCTAACTCAACCCGTGAACTTGATTTGATGCCCCTAATAATTATATCTAATTCATGGGATTTGAGAAATTATAAAGGGTCTATATTTCTATTTTTAGATTCACAATGTTGGAGTAAAGGAAAAGAAGTGTTTGCTGATAAAATTAATATTTTGTGTGGTGTGCTTAAATGTAAGCATGTAGTTTGAATCTCTGTAATTTTTACATAATTTTGCCTTCACAATTTCATCTCTTTCTTGCATAATTTAAACTCACTACAATCTTTCTTCAATATTTCTCTCTAATTCTTCAAACACTTGCTTTGCTCTTCATCTTGTGGGAGAGCAAGAAATCATCATTAACAATACTTCTGTGATAAACACTGTATGGGATTGTTTGGCAGCTTCTGGGATTTAATTTAATGAGATCTATTAAATCATGTAAATCTGAATTTAGCAAAAGTTGGGGTGGTTAAATTCTGAAAAATATTTGTATGAGATGTGTATATTCTCACTAATTCCTATGAAACTATTTTGCTAATTGCTTTTAGGGTTAATTTTTTACTATTTTTAGCATTAGTAGTCATTAATTATAAGTTTATAAATCAAAACAATCATTCTTTAGAAAGTTATTTAACTAATGACTCAATTAATACCTTTAAATTTACAATTTAGTGAATAATTAGCATAAAAAAACATTTTAGGTATGTATAATCAAACATCTATGAATTATTTGTTTATTAATAAATCATTAAGTATTAATTAAGTTAATTAAACATAAATTATAATTTCAAAAAGTACTATAAAATTAATTAATTAGTTATTTACTAAGTTAAATAATCATCAATTATAATTTTACTAAAATAGTTAATAATTCATTATGAACTAAATATTCATTACCTAATCATTAATTAAATATTCATCAAGCTTATATCAATTATAAATAAATTAATTAAATTTTACTTAGCTTAAGATAACACATTTGAAATATTAATTTTTTATCAATTTTAATTACACCAACTAAATCACAATTAATCTAAAGTAATAGCTCTATTACTAATCATTTAGTAAATTATAAAATTAGTAAAAAAAAGATTTACTTATGCAAATTAAATTTGGTTAATTCAACATTTTAATTTAAAAATAAAATTTATTATTCCTCATCCATAACATATACTCTAACAATCATTGAAATATGGCATCAACACCTCATCTTTCTCCCCTAATACTCACTACCTTCAATATTTTGCCTATTATCACCATGGTTGAGGAGTGAAACTAAACCCCAAAGAAAATACCAACATGAAATAAAACAAGATTGGTTTGGGCCAACAATGCCACGTTTGTTAGTTAAAATGGATGCACACATAATTTCAAATATTTCAAAGGGTTTTATTGTCAAATATTCATTTTTTTAGACTTTTTTTAATAGTTGATATTGTGCCATCACAACCCACCCCCAAATTGTCATCTACTTTAACTTTTTATTTTTTACCAAATGTCAAAAGCGCCCCAATTATGACATTCACCAACAAGATACTTAGAAGGTAAGACATCAATCAATTTTGATTTGGGACATTTACAAACATACCAATCAATTCCTATGTATTTACATAACTAATATCTAAACTTATATTTTTTTATTTGGGACATTTACAGACGTAGCATACAATTCTGATGTATTTACATGTCTCACACTTAAACTTTCGATGAATAAGAGCTTTGATATTTTTTTTAAGTTATAGCATCCATGGTTCTTTTTGTGAAATAAAAGGTGATAAATATAAAGAAAGATTTACAAACATACCACTAAATTTTTATGTGTTTGCATATCTAACACCTAAGACTTTAGCTTTTAAATATAGATTTATATATTGATATTACAGTTTTGAGTGTTAAATATGTAAAAATATAAGCATGGCGTAGTATGTAAATTAAAGTTTTGTTAAATTAAAATAGCAGGACATCCCCAATAAATTCAACCCTTCTAAGTTTGATTTGGTCTAACAAATGTAGCATTTTTTCTTAACGTGTTCGTCACATTGTAGATAATTATGACACCTAACCCTTATTTAAAATCAAAGCTACCTATGCCATGCCATCGTGGCTTAGTACAATCGTACAATACTGTGTTACGGAATCCACCTCATATGATATATATATAGAGAGATAGAGAGATAGAGATTTAAAAAATGTTTGATGCATATAACCTCCAACCATTCCTAGCTAGCAATTTGTCAGATCTGAGCTGGACTCATGCGCCTAACCACTTGAGTACCACCCCATATAATATCAGTAGCATGAGGGGGATTCGAACCCAAGTCCAGAGGAAACTTATACTGCCGAAACAGATGCTCTACCAATTGAGCTAGAAACACAACGGAGCTAGAAACACAACGCATTATATATATATATATATAGTCCCTAATCAAACTAGCTCACTAATTTATAAAAATATTAAAATAAATCTAGATTATTTTAAAAATGAGTTCTAATAGTCCTTTATCGGAATTATTTCAGTCCCACTATCAAGAGTTAAATATTATTTTGACATTTATATAAACTCTAGGATTAAAACAGTCTCGTGAGTAGTTGGGATTATCTTGGCACTTTTTAATTAATGTATAATGTTAGTTGAAATTAATGTTTTGTTTTAATATAGTTGTATTTATTATTAATATATTTATTAGCATGACACTGAATACCCATAAATTTTATCAGAAAAATTAACTTAATTAAATTAATAAAGTTAGGTATTATTTTGTGCTATTGTGATTATCATTAATATGATTATTAAATGGATTTATATTAGGAATAAATAATTCTTTTAAATAGTCAAATATATTTTAAAAATAATATATCAAAAAATTTAATTGATCCTCTGTAATAAACATATGAAAACTAATTCAATGATTTATGTATTTATTCTGGTAATTTTTTTCATCTTATTATTCTTTTAATATTTTTTTTTTAATTTATTATGAAAACTTGAGTATTAAACATATAAATATATACAATTATATTAAATGTATATAAATTCTCTTAATTTTAGTAAATAATTAACTAATCATTTTTTTGTTAACAATTTTGACTTAGCTAATCAGGATAATAAAATTATTAGAAGGGGCATTTAAATACACGCCAAACAATTTTTATATATTTACAACATCTAAACTTTTTTGGTTTAATGTGGAAAACTCAAGAACACGAAAAATTCACGAAATCACGAAATCACGCTAAGAAAAATTGTAAAAGTTTCACTGTGCTCGAGCCTCTCCACACTTTGGATTAGTTTATGACGCTCCTTTCTTTTGCACAAGAGAAAACTTGAAATCCACATTACTTTTGTCGAAAAATAAGACACAACAAATAGGAGCTTCCTAAAACTCACTTAAAGCCACCATGATATGGCGTTGCGGCACTCCAACGGGCACCACAAGTGCAACATCGTGCTCTCGAGTTTTAAATATGAACTAATTAGTTGGGAAAAATTATTGCTTCAGGACACCTGATGCAAATTTGCATGAGGTGTCCACTAACAGGGCGGCACGTGACTACCCAAGCCCGAACCGTGTATGTCACTGGACCCAAATTGCCACGTGATCACCTATTATTGGACAATTGAAGCAAATTTCCATCAGGTGTCCTGATACAATAAATCCTTAGTTGGGGCACTTCACTGGGCGGTGCGACACATCCTCTGACAAACTAGTTACCATTAAGTTTAATCAACAATATTAAGGGCTTTGAGCAACCAATAGAATGACGTAATCAAACTCCA